TTTTTTTTTTTTGAGAGGTTTTTGCTATAGGGCGCGTGCACTCACCAGACAGACAGAGAGACAGAAAGCAAGAAATCACCCCCCCGGGGAGATGGCAGTGCCGCAGTCCCTTCTCCTCCATTCTCCTCTCGGGATCTTGGGCACGCACGCACACGCACACGCACCCAGCATGACTTTAAGCCACTGGGTCCAAGACTAGAATCGCAGTCGATTACATGGGATTCCAGCGACATAGCCATTATGCTAACTGCTAACCCCTTTATTTATTATTTCTTAATTTGACCAGAGAAAGACAGAGAGAGAGACAAAAAGAGAGGGAAAGTGAGAAAGCAAGCCACCAGGTCCTGAACTCAAACCACAGTTGGCCATGTGGGAGTCCAGCACCTTCACCACCACGCCACCTGCCGGCCCCAAGGACCTCCCTTCTTCCCACTCTGACCCAGTCTCGGGACCTGAGACTATAGGGTCCATGCAGGGGACACCTCCTTAACTCTGAACACGTGGCACCACAGGTACATCACCCAGGAGGGACACAAGCTGGAAACAGGGGCCCCACGGCCCCCAGCCACCGTCACCAACGCAGTGTCCTGGCGGTCCGAAGGCATCAAGTACCGGAAGAACGAGGTGTTCTTGGATGTCATCGAGTCCGTCAACCTTCTGGTAGGCCTCCTTCCTTCCTTATTTTATTTTAAAGAATTATTTTATTTTATTTATTCATTCACTTTATTTTAATTTGACCAGAGAGAGAGAAAGAGGGAAAGTGAGAAAGCAAGCCTCCAGGTCCGGGACTCGAACTATGGTTGGCCATGTGGGAGTGTCCAGCGCCTTAACCACCACACCACCTGCTGGTCCCCCTTCCTTCCTTCTTTTAAACCGTTGTCAGGACCAGCAGTTGGTTATGTCACTGGACTCCCACATAGTCAAGCATGGTTCATGTCCCAGACCCCGAGGTTTAAAACTCATGCCAGGCATGTGTGTGATCATGCCCAAAATCCCAAGAGGAAAATGGAGAAGGGATTGCCACGTGGCTATCTCCCTGGGGAGATGAAAGCTTTCTGTCTCTCTGTCTCTCTCTGTCTCTACAGTGAGCGCACGTGCCCTATAGCAAAAATCTCTCTCTTAAAAAAGCAAAACCCAAAATCTTTTGTCTGCTCTACAATAGAAATAAAAATAAATAAGATGGTAAAATTAGCAAAGGCCCGAGAAACATTTAGGCGTCCCATGCTAGAAGGGTCAGCTGGACTCAGTCAGGATTACTGACTGCAGCTGCAGCTGGTTTTAATCTTCATTAGCTTTTGTTGTAATTTAGAATCAGTATAGGTACATGTTTCTGTTTTGTTTTGTTTTTGCTGAAGGATGCGTGCAGCTCACCAGACAGAGACAGAGAGCGAGAGAGAGAGGGGAAACAAGAAACCATCCCCCAGGGCTTGGCCATGCTCCAATCCCTGTTTCTCTATTCTCCTTCCAAGACTTTGGGCCCTCACACACGCACTTGGTGTGATTTTTTTTTTTTTCTTTTGAGAG